AAAACAAGATCAACTCCACAGACTTCTCTTCAGAAGCTGAATTATATGAAAAACAAAACCTAGGAAATTACAGGAAGGGCAATAGATATTTTGGGTACTTTTTAATTGTCGATTCAAGTTTAAACAAGTTAATACAAACTCCAATTATAAACTTTTACTTGACCCTAATACAGATTCCCACCCTTCCAGCTGCACTAGTAAGGTCACTTTCCATAAATGACCATCATGACCACAAAATGATGATTTCCTAAACCAAGAACAGCTTTACTCTAACGGGAATTACCTAGGTCCTTGAAGGTAAAATATTCTTCATGCTAACATTTACAGACACAGCAAAAACATGCTCTTATCATGATTTCTGTATTTGCTAAATGCTCACCCACTATAAACCAGTCCTTTTACCTCCCTATCCACCCACCACCTTGTACCTCTTGAATTCTGTAGGGGGAGGGGGAATCACTGATGTACTTTCATGTGATAATATTGAATTTCTTTAGAAAAAACACTTCAGGGATTGCAAAATGTATTTAAAAATGATTCTGTGTAACATTAATAATAACCCAAAGGTAACTCATTTCTTAGAACGTCTTCCTTTAAGAGGAACAGCAATAAAAAAAAAAAACAACCAAGTGCCTCCCTGATGCAGTGCTAGCTATGTTCTTGTCCTTTATCTATTTTAATTTAAAAGCTAAAAGATCCTGGGAAACTTTTGCTTAACTTCTGATTTAAAACTTAGACTCTTCATCCTGTATTTTTCCAGTTACCATGCAACAAATGCATATCAATATCAAGGCCATATACCTCAAGACAAAATTCAGAGCAATAGGACATAGATGCCAAGTACTTTGTCCCCTTAAAAACATATAGCCCACACCCTTGAAAAAGGACATTAGAATTCTACGGTATTTTTGAAGAGCAAAAAATCTCTTCCAAAGCTATAGCTTATAAAGATTTCCAGAAGCCACATCATACATAATCATAGTTAACTAATATTTTTTTGGTTAACGTGCTATGTAGTTTCCCCAGACTGAGCATTTTCACAATAATCCTACATAGTAAACACTATTATGATCTCCATCTTACAAAAGAATTAATTAAGAAATACAGAAGGATGGGGCGCCTGGGTGGCTCAGATGGTTAAGCGTCTGCCTTCGGCTCAGGTCATGATCCCAGGGTCCTGGGATCGAGCCCCGCATCGGGTTCCCTGCGCAGTGGGGAGCCTGCTTCTCCCTCTCCCTCTGCCTCTCTCCCTGCTCATGCTCTCTCTCTCTGTGTATCTCTGTGTCTCAAATGAATAAATAAAATCTTTAAAAAAAAAAAAAAAAAGAAATACAGAAGGTTAAAAACGTTTGCCCAAGATTACCGGAAAAGCTGGGCTTCCAAACATAGTCTAAAATCACAATACAAACTCCTTAATTACTCGATTACTTGACTACCTACCTAACTGCCTAAGCACTTAACAAATAAACGATCCCTCAAAAAACATGTAGGCATGGATGTACTTTTACTTTTCTACACGAAGTATATAAAAATCTTAATCCAAAAGAACCATTTGAATCAGCGATCTGAGCTTCCTAATCCATCGTAATAACACTGATTTTATTCTTAAATAAAATTTGAATCTACCTTAATTATGGAAAAGCTTCTTTAAAAAGTTCTTCCTTTTAATTATAACTAACATGTACTGAGGTAAGATGTGTACTTCACAGGCTTACCAGGTCAATAATCTTTTCTCCCTAGCCCTTCCTAATTCTTCACACTCTTCCAATTTCTTTTTTTGTCTCTTTCTTCTGTTTCAAAGTCCATGATCTCTGCCCATTGTGTCTAAAATTACCCCACTACCCCATCTGCCATAAATGAACACAAGTCTGGCTCATATTCAAATAACAAAGCTGGAAAGGACGTTAGCGAGATCAGGTAGGTCATCTTATCACACTTACTCAGATGCAGACACACTCACCACCAGTACACTGTGAACAGTGTCCCCTGAAATTGGGCCTGTCCTAAGCTAACAAATCCATTACTGGCCAAGGGAGGATTTGGGCTTCTCACTGCTCTCCATTACAATGGCCTCCCACTCCTTCTGTCTTGCCCACAGGAGGGACACCAAGTAGGAAGAAAACCAAACAAAGGTGATTTCTACTATTGGATAAAGGGAATTTCAGCCCCCTTTTATCTCCTTCGCTCACAGAAAGGTGTTTGGGGCCCTGGCTTATCTGGAACCGCTTTGTCAATTCTATTTGTCTCCACCACCTACATGCAGAGAATTAAACCAACAACAGCAATAATAAAAGCACTACTACCAGAAAACTGATAAAGGAAGTACATTTGTTGGGTTTTATACCCAAATAATGCCTAAAAGTCTTTAGAGGCTTTCTCTGTAATGATGTGCAGAACCCGTTTTAAAAAGTCTTGTAACAATCACCGGATGTGTGGCTCTGATATGTCATGAATTGTTTTTGAACACATGCTACCTATTGTAAGGAATTACAATTCTAATTCTTCACTCCAAAAGATTTTTTAAGATACTGCTTTGGATAAATATACTAAGTTGAACATGAAGTTTATGAAAGCCATATCTTATAAATCATTCATAAAAGGGAGGGAGCAAGAGACAAAAACAAGAATATACAGAGTTATCTAAAGAGAATGATTATTTGTGATAATTTCATGTAGAAAGAACTTTGCTTTATGAATGTCATTTGATCTTCTCATAAATCAGCAAACATTCAAGAATGATGCCTTTCAGAATTTGACCACAACCTACTGTAAGGAATACACACATCCTATGAAATAAAATTTTTACAAACCATTACTTACCCATACTAATTATAACATATTCTGATTTTTTTTTTAATACTGCTGATGACATGCTAAATTGGTTTCATGGCTCACCAGTGAATCAGAAGCCACAATTTGAAAACCTCTGCTCTACAAGAATCACAACATGTCAGAATACAGAAAGACAAAGTTGCTAAACCTGACAATATTGATAGACTAATCACATCCCAAGAGGCTCAATGAACATTTTAGGGTGATCTGAAGTAAAAGTCAAACATACAGAAAAAATTTTCAAATAACATCTGCATTAAGAACAAGTTTTGTATTAAGAAGAGCCTAAGTAAAAAGCACAGGAGGAAAAATAGATGCTTGAGATAAATTGGAGCAAACCCATTAGTTCTCATCTTCATTCAATAAACTATCACTATAAAACATTTGCCAAACACTGGGACAAATCACGCCAATATCTTGTATTTTATATGCTACTCTACTCCCAATCTGGTTTTCTATTAAAATTTCAAGACTGGGGGGCACCTGGGTGACACAGTTGGTTGGGCATCTGCCTTTGGCTCAGGTCATGATCTCCAGGTCCTGGTATCGAGCCCACGTCGGGCTCCCTGCTAGTGGAGGAGCCTGCTTCTCCCTCTGCCCCTCCCCCCGTGAGTGGCTATAAATAAATAAATAAATAAATAAATAAATAAATAAATAAATAAATAAATAAATAATCAATCTTGTATTAAAAATTCAAGATTAGGTATGCCTGGGTGGCTCAGTCAGTTAGGTGACTGACTTTTGGTTTCGGCTCAGGTCGTATCTCAAGGTTGTAGGATGGAGCCCCACGTTGGGCTCCACACTGAGCATGGAGTCTGCTTCGGATTCTCACTCCCTCCCCCTCTGCTTCCCCACCCCCTGCTCGCTCACGCTCTAAAATAAGTAAAAATAAAATCTTAAAAAAATTTTTCAAGATTAGCTGTAGAAGGTAGTAGGGAAGGAAGTAGTCTCTCAACAACTGGGGATCAGTACTGACACCATGTCCTAGCCCTGGCTTCCCTTCTACCGAGAGCAAATGCAGAAGAGAGATTCTGCTGCTCAGTCCCCCCACCTCTGCCAGCATTTAAATTAGGAATGTGTGTATGGGACAGAAAGAGAAATATTCTCAAACTGCCAGCCAGTTTTAGCCAGACATCTTCCTTGATCATTGTTTAGAAATACTGACAAGCCAAAGTAAGGAGATTATTTGGTCTGATCGTAATAAGCAACTAAAGGGGGCAAAAGTTTGTAATAAAGCAAACGTGAGTTCATAGTAAGTAATGTTCATTCTCCAGAAATGGAATGGAATACTTTTCAAATGACTAATAGTTCTGTCATTAGAAGTGTTAAGATTTCTTACACTGGTGGGAAATTAGAAGAGAGAACGTGAAAATCCCTTTCATCTCTGAGAAATCTGTAATTATTGGTTTAAATCTCCAACATCAGATAACATTTCAGAGGGACGTTAGAGGGTCAGATGGTCTTTTAGGCATCCATAAAAGATAATCCTATCCATCAGCAAAAACATAATGAAGATCACACTCCCCGCCCCCTCCCAAATCAATGGCTAGCCAAGGAAAACAAAATCAAACGTTTCATTTTCAAAATACCACCACCTGGTTTCACAAGCACACATACAACTCAAAAATCTACCGAATTAATCATTTTAAATATATATACAGTACATTGTGACATCAATTAAAACAACACTGCTTAAAAAAAAACCACCATGACCAGCTTTCCATCTTTGTAAACAAATTACATCCCTGCACCAAAACGATCAACATTAGAGCCGCACCCCAATATTTTCTAACTTTCTCTTTCAAATTTATTTTCTCATATATTCAAGTTCTATTGCCTTCTTCTCATTTTCCTAAATCAACACTCACCGAAAAGCATAGTAAACTAAGCTCTAATGCGCATCTCAATTCTGCGGCTGCTATTCAAATGGCATTCTATGGAACGTATCTTCCTTTAAGAATTTAAGTTGCTGCCCAAGTGTGTGCAGATTCTTTAACGATCTCATTTCCTTCTTTCCATGAGTTAAGGAAATTCACTTCTAGGTACTTCCATGCTACCACTTCATGGCTCAGCTGTCATTTTCTTCCCTGGCTCCTTATCCTGCAGCCACGCGAAAGAGAATCTGAAGACTAACAAGGGAGAGGAGGGAAACCCACAAGGCTACTCACGTCAGATTTGGAGGACATGTTCTCCTCCGCGTCGGAATCATTGGGATCCACGATATCGTCGAACGGCGGTAAAGTTGACTTCTTCTTCTCGGAGGTCTCGCTTTCAATTTTGACCTTTCCCATCTTGACGTGAGACTTATCTTTTGCCTGTTTTTTGTCGGCAGAACACGTGAGGATCAGTGGGGGTGCACTGGAGAAACTCTTAAATAAAGCCTCTGAGCTACTCTTCTTCCTCTTTTTGGCTGAGAGTTCTTCGGAATCTGAAGCGGGGGGCCTTTTACTGGGAGCCTTCTTGTCTTGCTGTCCACTGGTGACGGTGAGTAAGTTACTGTCTGGTTTGGGCTCTTTTGACATGGGTTTCGGTTCCTTGAAGGCCATCTTCGGAACGATCTTCTCTTCTTTCAGTGGTTTGTTTTCTTTGGGTTTCTTAGAGGATTCTTTGGAAGATTTGTTGTGATCCCTGGAAGGTTCTTTGAAGGCACTTTTATGTTCTCTGGAGTCTTTAGAAGGTTTTTCCTTGTGCTCCTTCGTTAATTTGTGAGGCTTTGAAAAACTGGTGCTGCTGCTGCAACTGCTACTGCTGCTGCTGCAGCTGCTGCTACTGCTGCTGCTGCTGCTGCTGCTACTGCTGCTGCTGCTGCTGCTGCTACTGCAGCTGCTGCTGCTGGTGTGGATGCTCCTGTTAGGGTCCTGCAGAAACGGGACAAGAAGATGCAACTCAGAGCTGCGGAGCAACCAGGAGGTGCAAGCCCGCTTCCCGGCATGCTCCACCTCCACGAGAACGATCTCTCTCTGACTGCTCGCAGATTCACTGCAAGACACAGCCAGAGCCTCGGCCTAACAGGTGGGGACAGGCTGGGCGAGGGCCACGATGGTCCAGGAGTTCAGGGGGGCCCAGCCGTCCGCCCCGGCATGACGAGCATGGCGCTCTAACCGTCTCAGTTCAACAGGTGTTCACTGAGGGCCTGTCCTGGGAGATACACAGAAGGGTAACACACAGCCCGACTCTCAGTAACGAGGATGTAGCCGGGAGCCGTGGGGGTTCCAAGAGCCACCGATAACGTGCTAGGACAACAAAAACAAGGGGGGGGCGCGCCCGTTAATTCCGTGGGGGGCATGATACAAGAATAATTCAGAAGTGTATGGAGAATTCAAACCTGAACTAGATACTTGAGGATCAGCAGGGAATTACTATGAAGAGAAGAATGAGAAAGTACTTGCAGACCAGGGACTAGAGTGAAGCACAACAAGGAGGGATCAAAGCACAGATTATGCTTGGGACGCAGCATTCAGCTATAGCAAAGATTGAGAAGGATGCAGAAAAACAGCCAGTGGTCACAGAGTTGGGTAATATTAATCCACAGGCTGGATGACGTTACATTTTAAATGGCTTTTTAATATAAAGAATCACAAGACTCAAGAAAAAATAATTCTCAATTTGAGATAAAAGGCAATTATTTTTTGCTATCCAAATTTCAAGAGCTAAGGAATAGGTCTCCCATCACTAGCAAAGGAAAAAAAAATGAACAGAACAAAGATTTTTACCTAATAGTTATTAAATGGACTGAAAAGTCTTCAGTTGTGCAATGATGAGGAAAGAGTTCATCACTGCCTATTCCATTCTAAATGTGTTACCTACTTTTTCACTCATATAAGTACTTCAGAATATATAACCTACACAGAACCTTTCTATTTAGGAGCAAAATTTAAATCCATACTTAACATATTTGTGAACCTCTACCATTAATAGTAAGAATAAGAAACAGAAGTAGATCCTTGACATGCAAAAATCCATACCAATACTATGAAAGAAAAGCTCTTTCTTGCTTACTTCCACCTCCTAATGGAATCAATGACAAATAAATGTCCAAATTTTCAAACAGAATTTACATCTCCATGGTTTGCTTATTATGCTGTACCTCTAACTCACCCACTTAAAATCAGTGCTATGTAAGCCAATCTTGTATCCCTTCAATATCTAGCACAATACAGAAAAGATACTGGGCAGGGGCTACGCTTTTCCCTAAAATGAACAATACTTTTAGGGTCTATGCTCCCCCCCCAAAAAAAGCATATATATGAATAAGCATCAGAAAGTAATACTCAATGTGAAGCTAACAACCAACAAAACTAAAAGGAAACCTACAGAATGGGAGAAGATATTTGCAAATGACATATCTGATAAAGGATTAGTATACAAAATATATAAAGAACTTATAAAACTCAACAAAAAAAAATAATCCAGTTAAAAAAAGGGCAGAAGACATGAATAAGCAGACATACAGATGACCAACAGGCACATGAAAGGATGCTCAACATCACTCATCATCAAGGAAATATAAATCAAAACTACTATGAGATATCACCTCACATCCATCGGAATGGCTAAAATCAAAAACACAAGAAATGATAAGTGTTAGCAAGGATATGGAGTAAAAGGAACTCTCTTGCTTTGTTGGTGGGAATGCAAACTGATACAGTCACTGTGGAAAACAGTATGGAGGTTCCTCAAGAAGTTAAAAATACTCTATGATCCAGCAATTGCACTACTAGGTATTTACCCGAATGATACAAAAATACTAATTTGAAGGGATACATGCACCTTGATGTTTACAGCAGCATTATTTTTTTTTTTAAAGATTTTATTTATTTTTCAACAGAGAGAGAGAGACAGCGAGAGAGGGAACACAAGCAGGGGGAGTGGGAGAGGGAGAAACAAGGCTTCCCACTGAGCAGGGAGCCCAATGTGGGACTTGATCCCAGGACTCTGGGATCATGACCTGAGCTGAAGGCAGACGCTTAATGACTGAGCCACCCAGGTGCCCCTACAGCAGCATTATTGATAATAGTCAAATTATGGAAAGAGCCCCAATGTCCATCGACTGATGAATGGATAAAGATGTGGTATATATACACACAATGGAGTATTATTCAGTCATAAAAGAGAATGAAATCTTGTCGTTTGCAAAAACGTGGATGGGGCTAGAGACTATTATGCTAACCGAAATAAGTCAGTCAGAGAAAGACAGATACTATATGATTTCACCCATATGTGGAATTTTTTTTTTTTTTTAAGTAGCCCAATGTGGGGCTTGAACTCATGATCCTGAGATCAAGACCTGAGCTGAGATCAAGAGTCGGATGCTTAACCAACTGAGCTACCCAGGCACCCCATAAATGGAATTTAAGAAACAAATGAACATGGGCGGGGGGGTGGGGGGGAGGGGGAACCAAGCAACAAGACTCTTAACTACAGAGAACAAACAGATGGTTACCAGAGGGGAGGGGGGATGGGGGAAATAGGTGATGGGGATTAAGGAGTGCACTTGTGATGAGCACCACTTGTTGTATGCAAGTGAGGAATCACTCAATTCTACACCTGAAACAACATTTTATGTTAACTGGAATTTAAATAAAAACTTGAAAAAAAAAAAGAGGTACTACTCAAAATGAAAAATTATTGTTCTGTTAGTGGGACTATGTATTTTTTTCTTCTCAATTTTTTTTCTCATTTGCTCAACAACAACAAAATGACATATACCAATTATTCCATTTATTTTTCTCAAGTGAGCATTTGGTTTCAAACTTCTAAAATGGATAAAGTTACTTGCAAAGACATGCTTTTATGCACCAAACTAGCTGATTCCTTACAAAACATCTCAATCTGAAAAAAAAAAATCTCAATCTGAGATTTAAAAGCAGAATGCTAAAGATAGTATTCATATTACTGAAACTACATTATTTTATAAATTCTATTACAAGACATTTCCTGGCATGTTAAGCAATACTATGAATAATTAAAATAAAGTATAATGGGCAAACTAAATTAAGGAAGAACATTTGAAATCTAATATCCTTGAGTTTTTTTTTTTAATTGGTTTGTTGACTCACTGAATTTTGGTAGTTTGCGATCAGTATTCTAATTACAGCTCTAGAACACCCAAGCATTGCTGCTTAATATTCAACCTTCATGGAGTATTACACATATTTTTATAAATGTGACTTTTAAAAATACACAGATTTTTACTTACCAACATGTTTCCTAATATTAAGCATTAAAAAACAGTAAATTTCAGTACCAAAAAAAACTTCTACAGAGGTCCTTCCATGATTTTTTTTTTTTAAGATTTTATTTATTTGACAGAGAAAGACACAGTGAGAGAGGGAACACAAGCAGGGGGACTAGGAGAGAGAGAAGCAGGCTTCCCGCCAAGCAGGGAGTCTGGTGAGGGGCTCCATCCCAGGACTCTGGGATCAGGACCTGAGCCGAAGGCAGACGCTTAATGACAGCCACCCAGGTGCCCCCCGTGATTTATTTTTAAAACGCTTTTGTAGGACAAACTAGAATTCTTAATGCAAAGTCCATAGTGGTATATGACACAGACTCTTGTGTCACAGAAAGTTTAAATTCGTCTTAATTACATACATATGATGTTAAGTATAAAACTCCAGAAATTTTATAACTTTTTACTCCCACGTTGGTCTAGGTATTTAATGCCCACTGTCAGCTTTTCACCAACCCAACAAATCTTCATAAAAGCAAGGCACCCAGCTATTCTCGCACCTGCCCCTTTACCAAAAAAGCTCTCTTTTTAAATTAAGACAACTGAGAAGTAAAAAGAAAAACATATTCCATAACACCCCAGATAAATAAAAATTTAAGAAATAACAAAATGGTGGAAGAATGGTCCCTAGTATACTGGACAACATTTTCTTTGTCCTGGGCCTTGTGATAAATGGCAAAGTTAAGATGTACTGTCCTCTGACTCCAGAGTCAAATATGCAATAAACGTAAAACAGAGACTTAGATGCAAAGTCAGGAATTAAACTGTTACTGACACAGAATAAAAGCTTTTACTAATTCTCAGCCTATCTATGCCATATATATTGGAGATCAAGCTACTGGCTTTTTAAAATTTTTACTGAACTATTAACTTCAACATTAAGTGCCACTAAGCAGAACAGACTAATTACCATTCAATGCGAAGTTTACACGTGTTGTGTAATTCAAATTCTCTTTGCCTGAGGCTCATTAGGACAAACTGAATATCAATATTAGGGAGAGCAAGTATGCGTAATTCAAACCTCAAATATTTAAGGCAAATGAGTGTTTAAACATACATATACATATTTGCACTAACTTTACTACCTATGAATATAGGATACAGAATTTTCTTTCATCCTCTCAGATTCTACTGAATGCTTCCTTGTTCTAATTTTCAGGAACAAAATGGGTCCTTTTAATGTATAATCTCTTCTAATACTACTTGTCAGCAACTCTAGTAGATAGCTTGCGAAAAGGTCTTAACTAGTGGACAAAATAAGGTTTTCTGATTATTTGTGGCTTTCAACTACTGTGTTATCGCCACGTCTTCTTCCTAATGCCACTGATAATGCAAAGCTGATTCTTTCTCCAGCTCCTGTCTCTTCTCTTTACTTATGCTCTTATTTTTGGTCTCTGTCCTACTTCATCTAGCTTCTGTGTTGTACAAGATTTTCAGATCATTCATATCTTGTTCAGTGAAATCTGCATACGGACAAATAAACCCTCTCAGAAGAGTTTTATTTATCCAAAAGCAATAAACTCTCCTCTAAAAGTTTATTTGTCCACAGTGCATCTGAAAAGGATACTTCCTAGAAACTGTAATATAGTCCAAAAGAGTATGCATACAAAAGGTTGGGTAAAACAG